ACAACTTTCGATATTGCGCTTTCGGACATTGGTGCCCCAGTGGACGTTATATAGACTGCTTCCTCTGCCACCACACCGGGTTTTGCAGGAATATTGGAAGATTTATTTGCATACTGGGGGCGGAGTAAGTCCAGACATGTGTCAGCCATCTCCTTCAGCTCCCTGATCCGAAATAATTTCGCTGGTCCAAGCGAATATTTTTTGTTCATTGTAGTCTCATTGCGATAAATGGGAGCATTTCTATTGGTGCTAATGTTGAAGCCTTTCTGTAATTTCTCGCCGATAAGTTTGATAATGCTCCAAAACGTTGGCCACTGGATAATAATTACCTGGAGCATCAGAAAATCGCGCAATCTGGCATGCAAACTCAACTTTTCCCACTGCATGGACTTTTCCTTTATTTCTCGAAAAGTCTTCTTTATACTTTCAACTTCTTCCCCCGCTCTGAGTCTTAAAAAGTCTCTTTAAGAGAGAACCTCTTTCCGGCCTTTCTCCCTCTTTCACCCTCACGTTGAAATTTGCTGACCACGAATCAATCCTGGCCAACGCAGAGTTGATGAGATTCTCATGGCGATCAGTGAATTCGACGACTCTTTTCCCTCGTTGGCCCTCGCCAACATAAACCGTAAAAAAGCCGGAGGGTTGACAATATAGGTTTTGAGGGTCTGGGGCTAAAGAGGTTGTGGCAGCTTGTCATTTCTAAGAAAGAAGTTATTTCTTATCTTGTCAATTGACATGTCTTGGCACAGGATTGAGACATTTCCCTCAAAACTTTCCAAATGGTTCTGGAAGACCATCAGTGACTGCGCTAGAAATTTTTACTGCAGTTTTGGGTCTTTTTTCTGACGTATGCGATCCACCAATAAATTCACCACAACTCGAACACTCTTTGGGCTTATATCGATTGAAATACTCAGCACTGCATTTCGGCATTGCCATCTGCCACGTTTTTTCTTCACGGGAAGTTTGCATATGTCTCTCAATTTTCCAGGGAGCGGGCTTCCCCGTGGTTTGGGTGGTCTCAACATGTTATACAGATCCTCGTTTTCATCGCTGCCCTTGTGTAGCATCATCGACCTTTCTCATCCCACTTTCCCTCGATCTTTTCGCCGCGATTATATCGTTCATCCTGTAACATACTTCATTAAATTAATCTCTGAAAATGTGTTTGCATGTGTTGCTTGATATATCTCGATTGACTGTATTGCACAAAAAATAAGCAATAATTGGACTGACTCTTCCGGGTCATTGTTACTGAGATTGTGCACATTTCTGAGGTGCTTGTCCTTCCGGCACACCATGGCGGAACAGTCTTCAATGAGACAGAGAATTGGGGCCCGTTTCTGGCACACACCTGCCTTCACTGACCTCGGCTGCCGTCTTGCAACTTGGCTTTCTTCAGCCTTGGTCAGCTTGTGTGCATGAACGAGGTGGCTTGAGAGATACTTAATCTCCTTGCAACACTCCGGGCATTTTTTCTCTCGCCTAGTTTGGACCTAAGGAAAATATATAAATTTTTAATGAAAGTTTAATTCAAACCACATATTTGGAAGGGAAAAAATGTTTGGCATACACTTTTTTTTCCTTCGTCACTCCTTTTGTCTTTGCTAATATGTTTGAAAAATACATTAAAAACGAACACTTTAAAAAGAACAATTTAAAACAGATGTTCTTTGATTAGATTCTACTTTACCACGAACCACTTCATGTCAGTCACTCAAATTGTTTCCAAAAATGAGGAACACACAGGAAGGCACAAGGGAAATTTCTTTTAATTTTGTGTATTCGACAATAATTAAACCTACTAAGCTGCCAACATCCTCGTCATCGGCTGGCATGCGTAATTCATTAGTGCAATAAATTTGTACATCTTATATTTTACATACAGTCAAACGACATGAGTTGTACAAAGTACACAAATATAGTCAAAATTACATAAGGTATTTTTAAATTTGCATTATATATGACTTACCGTCCTTTCCGATTTCGCTGTAATATTATACCATTTTTCTTTTTTGTCTGATCCTTATAAGCTCTGAAAGAAGTATTACATAAACATGGTTCTACTTGTACCAGCCCTCGCAAACCGCCAAAATTCAGGTCGGCAAAAAAATGCCGACCTAAATCTGAACTGGGTCGGCATGTCTCGGCATTTTTAAAAATCTTTTCCGCGCCTTGGAGCATTAGTAATCACGCATTTGTGAAACATTGAAATCGGAATATAACTTGAACGTACGTTAACTCCAGCCAAAAGCTATAGTCAAAAGTTGAAGCAAAATTTTGTCGTGTACAGTAACAGAAATGGGAATCGTAACAAACATTATCAGTCCTACGACTGGACGACATAATAACAACTAAAGTAAAAAATTTTGTCGCAATCCTGTTTTGTTAAATGTTTGCGGTTTTAGTTAACATAGTCGTAGACTAATTAATTGTAGGAGCTTTTAATTTCAGCTGCCTGCCTCTAAACTTTTAACTTTAGTAATTACAAAACAGTGAATCTTAAACGTAATAAGACTGTAATTTAAAAATGAAAATTAAAGCCCAGCAAAGAACTTTCAAACAAGACATAACAAAAATACAAATTATGTCTTGTTTGAAAGTTATTTGCTGTGCTTTAATTTTCATTTTTAAATCACGCTTTCCGCCTGATGTATCAATCGCTATTATAATAAGACTGAATTAAATCTTCAAGAATTGTCATCGTCACTCGAGTTACTTTCAGACCACTGAGACTCGTCATCTGAAATTTCCTCGAGAGGGATTTCGCGCCGTGGCTGTTCCGCACTTTCGTCCTCCTCTGACGACGACGCCGACGAATCGGACGATTGCACTGCGTCGTTAAGTGCCTGTGGAAACGACTTGGTTGAAACAGATTTTTGTTTTCTTGGTCGCTTTGCTGGTCGATGCCCATCCAAGCGTCGATGGAGTTGGCGTACATTCCCAGAAGGGTGTTCGGATAGGAAGAGCTCGATTGCTCTTTCGTAACGCTGTGGGTCGTAATTAGTGTCACATCTCAAACGCAGAACATCCAACATCACATCGTTGCCGAGTGATTGGCGTTCTTTACTGAAAATACGCCAAAGGAAAGAGAAAACTCTTTCTGACTCCGCATTGCCGATCGGAAGTGCGATGCCAAGCTCAATTACGTGCAGAATATTTTGCACTCCCAACGCATGTTTCATAGCGAAGATCTGAGGCCAAGCACGTATAGGCGTGACACAGGGCAAGAACTTCGTGACATGTTCCCTCAAAATATCTAGCTCACACTCCAGCTTGGTTAACTGGCATCCGTTTGCTGTCAGTAAGCTCTTGAACTTCGTAACGATCACGGAAACTTTTAAAAATAGCTCGTCGCATGTTTTGTACAAGTATGCTTGGGTGTTCAAAACGTCAGCAACCGCCAAGAAAAAATCGTCCTTTGTGATGGAGCTCATCCGCTCATCAAGCGTGGCTTCCAACTTCTGAACAATCTTGCGGTATTCGTGAAGACACTGACGTGCAGCAGTCTCCGCACTTCCTTTGATCACATAGTCGAACAATTTTCGACATTATCGGTAGCAGCCGAGCGTAAATGTCTTTCAGGAATCAGGTTGGCAACTTCTTGCTTTATTGAAGAGAAAAACGACGAACATACAGGGAAAATATCTACTCTCTCGAAAACTTCGGTACCATAGCTTTTTCACTGTTTTTTTGTGTAAACGAACAGTGTGATCAGATCAGGCAAGATCAGTTGTGTATCCTGCAGAACCTTTGTCATGGGGCTGATTCCGGCCAAGATGTCTTGCTTGATAGCATTGAAGAGAATATGATTAGTTTTCGTGATATTTCTAAGAATTTTTTGCAGTTTAGGTACCACCTTTTTCATGGTGTCGTTGTAGGGATTGGCGATCTGGTTATTGCAGTATCCAATTAGAAGCGGAAGATTAATATTGTATGACCGTAACGCTGCCGTTTGATGCTCGGTCCAACGAGTTCCAGTTGGACGCTTATATTGCAGGTAGTGAAATTCAATGCATCGTGCGTGTTGCTTGAATAGACGCCATCGCAATGTGGCTTTTTTGAAGAGGTAGTAGACATTCGTAACATCTTCTTGGCAATGGGTATTTAATTCTGACATCTTAAATGCATCTCCAATGCCAAGTTCCACTTTGTGTGAAGGGCACAAAACCAGAGTATAATGTTCTCCAAGCTCCTCTTGAACGAGCTGGTGGAGCTTTACATTGATTTACGTAATAAAAAAGGAAAATCCCCAATTAGAAAAATATTAAACATAACGTAATGAAAAGGGAAATCCCCATTACCGGAATATCGAATTCAAAAGGGAAACCCCCGCTACTAAAAAATATATAAACAAACAATTTTAAAATATAAATATTTATTAAACCGTAAAAACAATATAACAAACTATAACTATATACTAAACTTATATATTAAAATCCATAAGTTCAATGTCTCTTAGGTCGTCCTCTAAATCCTTAAAATTGCTATCATCTACGAAACACTCCCAATCAAGGAGTTTGACTTCGAAATCAAAGTCTTCAAAATATTGTCTATTGTCCTCGTATGGATTGAAAGTAGGTGTCTCGTTTCCACTTCGCTCACCCGTGGTGTTTTCATTGCCGTAGTCGTAGTTGTCTTCGCTGTCGTACCCGTTGTTGTTGTTTTCGTCGCGCCGTGCCCGTTGTTGTTGTTGTTGTTGTTGTTTTCGCCGCCCGTGCCCGTTGTTGTTGTTGTTTTCGTCGCCGTGCCCGTTGTTGTTGTTGTTGTTGTTTTCGTCGCCGTGCCCGTTGTTGTTGTTGTTGTTGTTTTCGCCGCCGTGCAGCCTCGTACCCAGGCGCTTCAAACTATATATTAAAATGTAATAAGTAATCATATTACAGTATCATATAGAGTTCAGTTAAAAACGCGGAAAACGGGGGGGAGATATACAAACTGGGCGCGAAAGGGATATTGGGGAGGTTGGGAAAAGGAAGCGCCTGGCAGAAAATGAATAAAACATGGCGGAAGATGTACTGAAGTCTCTAATTACCATAAACCGACCTGTGCATAAATCCATTTGTTTGGGGAAAGTGCTATGTCCTCACAACGAATGCTATGCGAATCAAAAATTTTTTGACGAAAATGGTATTTGCCATCACTTTCGCGTAAAACACAAGCAAGAATTTACAACAACAGACAGAGTTGAATCTCTTCGTCTCAGCAGATTGTATTATGAACAAGAAACAAGCGATTGCATCAACCAAATATTTGATCGGCGAAAGGTTATAAAGGTAAATTAACAGTAAAGGCGAATTCTGTAATATAAAGACGAAATACCATCTACTTCGAAATACCATTTATTTTATGATTTTTTGCATTACATTTGTAATTACCATTAATTAAACTTCTTTATAAACAAATTGTATACTTAATTGTATATTATATTCATATATTCTGTTCTGTCTTTACGCATTACGTTTTTCAATCAGAAAAGGGCAGAAAAATTCCACCCCCCAAATTAATGCTCTAGTTAACCACTGTCTGTAATTAGCCTATATGGATAGCAGATATAACTCTGACTAAGTAAGCCACCTGAAAAAAACTTGAAATATCTCTTTTTTCCTATAAATAATTGACTACCAACAAATGAAAATTCTAAAGGGATTTCATATATTTTGTAACTATATCAACTAAGGCATGTATATTTCTCAAATTACAGGATAAAAATCATAGAGAAGTTACTGTTTCATATTCAGGGCGTACTCTGAAGTGCCTTGCAGACGATGAACAAGAAGCTGTTCAATTCATGTGTATTTTACTATATCATGGTGGAATATTAAAGTCATATTGCAAGGGTGACGAACCATGCGACGTGTTGGCAACAAGTGAGGAGTTGCAAGTAAAATTCCATTGTTGGTACATAAGGAAAGATAATAACCATGGTGTAGATTTTCAAATGGAAGCATTTTATGTTAAAAGGGTAAGTTTTTTAGCATTTTGTTGAAGTTATATTGTAGCCAATCAGTGGAGATACCAGTCCTATTTTTTAGGGGAACATTTGAGTGTAAACCATGTAAGGGCATAATTGTGACTCACTTTGCATCACCACATTAGCTGGAATAGCTTTAACGGTTGTGATTTGCAACATACTGTCTCTAATTTTATTGATTAAAACTTTCTTACATGATATTAAATCTATAATCACAACTACACTATGTCTCCAAACTAAATTATATAGACTTAAAGAAGTGCCTATATCATGTAGCTAGCATGCCATTACTGAAAATTGCTAATTAAGATGCATCTATTAGGAACCTAGACCTATTGTCAATGAGTGGATCCCTGAAACAATTATTCCACAAGGCAATGGATCAGAAGAAAGAGCTCCCAATCAGCAAAGTAGTGACACTCACTTTGATATCTTACAAAATGTTTTTGGTCATGAAAATTTCCGGGGAATTCAACGAGATGTTGTGAAGGTTATTTCAGGAAATAAAGATGCATTGGTAGTAATTCCTACAGGTGGGGGAAAGTCAATCTGCTACTGGGTTCCTGGTTTAGCAGTAAATGGTGTATCTGTGATCATAACTCCTTTGATGGCTTTGATGAATGATCGAATTTCAAAGTTAAAAAGGATTGGAATTAGTGTGTGTTATGTTAATTCTAGTATGGCACCATATTTAAGAGAAGTTGTATTCCATGAACTGACCTGTAAATCAACGCATTACAAGTTTTTTTATCTTACTCCTGAGTATGCATTGTCTCCACCTGCTATAGCAACATTTAAAACTATGGCTGAAAATGGAACATTGCTCAGATTTGTTATCGATGAAGCACATTGTGCTGACATCTGGGGACAGAATTTTAGACGCTCATATGGCCAGCTGTTAACACTTAAGGAGTTCAATAAACCAATTGTTGCATTTACAGGGACAGCAACTAGCCAAACAGAAAAAAGAATTGTGACAAAATTGGGTTTACTTGAACCTGTAATTCTTCGATCCAGCTGTGACAGGAAAAACCTATTTTTCAAGGTTGTTCCAAAAAGTGGACCTCATGCTAAGGAGGATGTTGTGAATTACATTATTGATAATTTCAAACAAACATGTGGAATTGTTTTTTGCTCAAGCACAAAGGACACAATTGAGTTAGCCTATTTATTTAAATCAAAAGGTTTAGCAACAGTCTATTACCATGGTCAACTTGACTTCTTTGAAAAAACAGAAAATGCTAGAACTTGGCTATCAGGAGCAGCAAACATTATGTGCGCTACGAGCGCATTTGGGATGGGTGTAGATAAACCGAACGTTCGTTTTGTTGTTCACCTTACCATACCCAAAACATTAGAATGTTATTATCAAGAAGCAGGAAGGGCTGGGCGAGATGGAGAGAGGGCAGATTGTGTTTTGATGTTTCGATTCGAAGATAGAAATAAACTGCTACAATTAATTCTCAAGTCAAGCGTTGAGGAACAAGTGGAGTCCCAGATAAATGGATTGAATCAAGTTGTTTCTTATGGTATGTCATCTTTATGTAGACGAAAAATCATAATGGATTATTTTGATGATAAATCTAAAGTTGTCTGTGATAAAAACTGTGATAATTGTTTGAAAATGCCCCCAACACAACGAAATCTAACAAAGGAAGCTATCAATATATGCCAATGTGTAAAAGAAATGCAATCTGTAAATGCCAAAATCAGTGTGAAACAGCTCGCTCTAACCTTCAAGGGATCGAAGTCCAAACGTGAAGTTGAAAGCAAAGGCTTTCACCTTATTCCAGCTTATCGCATTGGGGAAAACGCATTTAAGAATGATTGTGATGTTATAAAATTTGTTCATTATCTGATAATCAACGATATTTTAATGGAGAATCTCCGTGGTGTGGATGAAAGATTCATTTCACCGTTCATTACGTTAGGAAGGAAAGCTGACGAATTGAACAATGGGCAAATGCAAATGCTTTTGCCACTGTAATTTACGGAACAAATTGAACAAGGGTCAAAAGCTAATTAGACATAACGAAAATAATGACGAATTAACCATGACCATTGAACATTTAACCATGCAGATTGTGGTATCAAATTGATTAAAAGATGGATTCGACGATGCATATGTAATATAGCGGGTTGTTTTATTTGTCGCGTTAAAATATCACGAAATTAGCCCTAATTATAGCATCAACGACTCGGTATATTCAATCGCAACTTTAACTATACAAAATAGGAGTGAATTCGAGAACTTCCAAGCAGCTATAAATAAAGAGAAAGTTTATTCGTCCTCGGAACTTTCATCATCAGACGATTGTCGCAGTTTTTGGAGTGACGTTTGCCTAAAGGACACGAAACTCTCGTGCAGTTTGGCTTCGAACTTTTCTATTACCTTTTCCTCGCCTTTCTTTACGACATCTACGCAATACTTTGAAACTAATTTTTGTGTGCATGGTGAATTGGACAGCGGATACTCTGTTACAGCTCTTCCAGGGCAAGGTTGAAACATTTTATTTGCGAGGCAAAACCACATACCTTTAATAACATCTGGGAAAGATGACTGTTCTTTATGCTTCACTGTTTGGTGATAGTTAAATGGTTTTGAATATGCGCGTCGAGCAGATCCAAGTAGATCAAGATTACCCATTAAACGCTCACACATTTGCACAGACGTGTGACCTAAAATGTTACATAAGAAACAAAGTTCAATTAATATATAGTTATTTACTTATGATTGAATCATTAAATTTGACGATTTTACGGAAGAATTTACTAGTCTGGTCTATATAAAACTGAACACAATTTGAACAAACCCTTACCGGTTGTGTAGTTTTCAGTTGGTCTGACTAAATGTGTTTCGACATATTCATCTAGGTCAATATTGTGCCCTTGCTTTCCACTCACGTTGACAGACATGTTTTTTTGGATCATCCGTCTGAACGCCAACGGCCAAAGCGATGTAAAATTGGCAACGTGCACAAAAGCCTCGGTCCAGTAATTCCTGAAATTTAATTGAGCGAATATAGGAAGAAGTAAAACCCAAGCTGTCTCACGAAGTAGTCCATCCCCTTGTTTACAAGAAGTGATGAACATATCCATTAATGGGCCGAACAAGGTGAACATCTGTTGATGATATCGGTGGGCTTCGTCACCCTTTCCACATTTCTCTAACCAAAGTTTGAAACTGTTTAACAAAATCAAGTTATGGTTTCCCTGTTTTCGGAGTGCCGATGATAATTCTTCTTGGGATGGAAAATTCTTAGACGCTTTAAATTCTAATACGGCCGCGAGACCATAGGCTTGACTGGCGTCTCTAACTGCCTCTTTAATGTTGTTCAAGTTTTGTTCTTGAAATTTTCTCTTTTTAAAAACGTCTTTGTTGTTCAATTTTTTTCTGTCCATAATATCATGAACAATTTTGTGAAATCCTCCTTTCCCATGTGCCTTAAAGACTGCCTCGCACAGGTGACCTTTAGCGTGTAAATCCCCAGGTATCTCTGTCATCCAACCAAACTTAGTGTTATTTCTGTTTTTCACGCTTCGGTTCACCTTACAGGTTCCTACATCTCCGACAACTGCCGTAGGAAAACCTTGATTCACTGACCGGTTATATTGAAAATTGCTGGGGCTGGACAAATTCATTTCGACTGGTAATTCATCTGTAAACGAACTAACATTTTTATTTACGTAGGCATGGCTGCATTACGTAGCAGTTCCTTTACAAAATCATTTTCCTTCCTTTTTGAATAAGAGTTAAATAATGCAATTACTTCTTTGAGATCCATCGTGACTGCCATGTCTAACGGCGTAGGAAATGATCCAAAAAATGGGCCATCGTAATCAGCATAATTCTCCAACAATATTTGGCACATTGTGGTATCAGCATTTAACACAGCAAGCGTCATCGGTGTTGCTCCACAGCCTTCCTTAGAGTTGGGATTAATTCCAATTGACAGAAGAACTTTAACAAGAGCGTATTGTTTTTCTTCCACAGCAAGATGAAAAATGTTCCTTCCGTATTTGTCTGTTAATGTATTGATACGATGATTGTCTTTGGAGAGTTGATGAACGAGGTTGCCAAGTGAATTGTCATTTTCCGAATACACAGCTTCTTGTGTTTGCTTTAAAACATTTGAAAAGAAACCCTCGAGTGAGACATTTTTAACCTCATTATTTGAGGATACATTCGCGTTGTCTACCTCATCATCACTTGACTCACCGCTATCGTCAAAAAGGTTTTCCTCGGTCAAACCAAAATCAAATTCTTTTTCATATGAATTTATTTGTTTAACTACCTCGCCCATTTCTACTTTGTGCATTTCAACTGATTTCATGAATTCGTATTGTGTTCGTGCAGCACGGATATCAAATGATTTGCTGGCCGTATTGAACGGTATCTCCAGAGTACTTGGGTTCGGGATAGAAAATTCCTCTGCAAATTTCTCTAAAATTGAAGCAGTTCCTGTTAACGTCGAATTATCCTCTAACGACAGCTGAAGATGAACAACATTTGTTTTCGTGACCTGAAAACTTTGGCATCGTTCTTGTTTGGATGATGGAATAATCTTATACATAATGTCAGATGCATCTCTGTTACTTAAGTCAACTTTTGATAACCATGAATTAAATTCAGTTTCATTCATATCGCCAAAATCCTTAGGCGGTTTAGGAACATGATTCAAGCTTTGATCAAGTAACTCTAGGATGTATCCATCGCACCAATCTTTCCACATTTTCTTATGATCAACCATCGAATCTACAAATTAATACTAAGCTCTCGAAGCTTTTCATTTATTCTGGCTCTGTAATTAATAGGTTCGGTTGATATTTTTTCAGCACTGTTCCGAAATTATACCAATATTACCAGCAAATTACAAACCTTTAAAACCAATTTAAAACGGTTGATTTCAACATATGCATGGTACGGAAGCTTGATACGGCACATTTACCAAAAAATGCCACCGGTATATTTGCAAAACTTATAAAGCCTCTTATAACGAGCAAGTTTTCTATGACAAGTTTTTATGTGACAAGTCTTAATTGTTCGTCTGTACGCCCAACTTGACAACAAGTGTACTTGTCATAGAAAAAATTGTCAAAGTTGGGCGTACAGACGAACAATTAAAACTTGTCATAGAAAACTTGCTTGTCTGTAAGAGGCTTAAACTGAAAAACTCGTATCAATAATCGCTATACAGACATTGGTTACAATGCCCATTTCAACGTGTGCTGTCAAACGGAGGCAAAGACCCTGGCTTGCGAGTTTGACATTTGATATGTCGGTAATACCTAACAGTAATCGTTATTAAGTATATATGATTACAGTATAAATGTTAGAGTGTTTAAAGGCCTTATCACAGAGTGCACTTTTTCCTGCAACTTGAATCGCATTCATCAGTGGATTGCACTAATTAAGACTCGTTCTTAACAATTTCACATATAACCAGAGCAGTAGAATTGCATTGGAAATTGCCAAAAATTTGCACCATATAAGATGACCTTAACTAATAGCTACCTATTAGCAAATCTTTTGCTGTCATGGCAGAAATTTCCTTCTGTGACATGGTTGCTGTTTCCATCTCACCCATCAATTCTTCAACATCACTAGTATCTGGAATGATTGCCCCTCTAACTGTAAAATTCCACATTTTAGGACCCACATTCTTTGACAGCCTGGTATGTCGTTTTCGTCCTCGATAGATATTAATATTATCCATCAACAATATTACTGGTATATTAACAGGGCATCTCTTAAAAATTAGTTTTTCCATAGCTCCTTTTCGTTTCTCAAGAAAGTTATTTCTAAAAAAAAGGGAAAATGTTTCATCATGCATTTGTGCAATGTACCAGTGTACCTATGGTGCAAAATAGAATGTGGTTAGAAATTGCATTTGCAATATCTTATTTTTCTACAAACTTACGAATTCTCATAAGAACCTTTCTAATATGTAGTCATACTGTAATTCAACATTTACAACCATTATACTGTATATAAATGTAAATGTATGAGATGGCCAGGCCATGTTGCTAAAAAAGAATAATTCAGAGACATACATTGTATCCCAATGAGGAGAAAGACCAACTGCATTCAGAAAGTTTATAAACTGTTTTCCTGCTCCAAAACTAACACATACTACTCCCAAAAGTAGTCTAACATCATTACGGCATTTTTGATTGCCAACACTTAATAACATAGACAAAGCATTGATCCCACACGTTAACTTGTACTCTGGTGTCTTATGAATACGTTTCCTATTGTCTGTGATCAAAATTGACTGCAAAACACTGTGCATAAGAGGACATTTTTCCACAAATTTATCCAAAAGCTGATTGAAGAAACTGCTGTCAACCACATCCTTTTCATCAATCTTGAAATGTATCACACATAATTGCTGCATTTCTTCAATTTCCTTTCCTAATTGTTTCTTTTGCAACTCTGTTATAACTGGTTCTTGGGTACTTTTTAGTTTCTTTATTTCAGTTTCATACAAAGTAATAAGTGCAGATTGCAGTTTAAAGTATTTGTGTAAATTCAATCTGCAATCCTTTGCTGAATTTCTCAAATCTTCATTATCATCACAGTTCAAAGATGAAATTAATGATGTTGATACTTTTTCTAAAGAATCCTTTAAGTCTTCCATATGGTTTTTTATCACCGAAATATCATCTGGGTCTTGAAGCAATTCCTTTGAAAATGTGCTGTCATCATATATTGGCTTGAATAATATATTGGTATATATACATCTATATTTGTTAAGAATTTTAATTGGTATTTTTAGTAACATATGGTAAAAAGTTAAGTGGTATTTGAATTTAATCATTCAATCAATACATTATTAGTCAATAAATATACCAAATTTCGGTATTTTATTGATTCTACAATTTCTAAATACATATTGATAATATTGATATTGAACATATTGATAATGCCTACATGCAGCACTTCAAGGATACACCTTCTGTTTATTAAGAGTTATTACTTTCTTT